GGGGGGGGGGGGGGGTTTGGTGTTACCCAATGGGTAAAGGTGTTGGCTGTTGAAGCTTAACCATCCTGCAGCCCTTGTGAGAAGCTGCCATGTGGTGGCATGCAGCTATAACCCAGCACTCCTATAGTGAGATGAGAGCCAAGACAAGAGTCACCTAGAAGCTCGAGGACTAGCTAGCCTGGAGTACTCTCTGAAACAGCAAACATGGAGATCTGACTGAATCAGGGTGGAAAATAAGAACCCACTCCTGAAAGCTACCCTTTTGACTTCACATGCATGCTGTGGCAAAGTGCCCCAAACACTTGCAAAATAAGTAAGTTAAAACAAAAGGTGGAGATTGATTTTTCAAAAACATTTCATCATTTGTATGGGTGTTTTGCCTGCAAATATGTCTGTGTACTGTGTGTGTGCTGTGCCACACAGAGTCCAGAAGATATCAGATCACCCCCGCCCCCAGACTGGAGTTGCCTGTTTTAAGACACTATGTGGGTGCTGGGAATCAAACCTGGGGCCTCTACAAGAGCAGCCAGTGCTCTGAACTGCTGATCCATTGTAGTGATTTAAATGAGAATGGCCCCCATAGGCTCATATATTAGAATAGTTGGTCTCCAGTTGGTGGAACCCTTTGGGAAGGATTAGGAGTGTGGTCTCAATGGGAAAGATCTGTCACTGGTTTTGATGTTTCAAAAGGCCTATGCCATTCCAGTTATATCTCTGTCTCCCTTCCTCCCTCTCCCTTTGGCTTGTTCCTGTAGATCAGAATATAAGCTGCTGCTACACTCCTGCCATGATGGTCATGGACTCTAACCCCATGAAACTCTGCACCCCAATAAACATGTTCTTTTATATGTCACCTCCACCAAGGTGTCTTATCATTGCATAGAAAATTAACTAGAACAGCTAACTCTTCAGTCCCTGAAGAGCAATTTCTGAGGAAGACATTCACTACCAACCTTTGGCTCTCAAAGCACATAAATGCACTTGCACATAGGTGGATAGCCACATGCACATACGTGAACACATATACACATACCCAAGCAAAGGGCTTACATGCTTGACAAATTTCTTTCTTTTTTTTCTTTTTCTTTTCTTTCTTTCTTTCTTTTTTTTTTTTAAGACAAGGTTTCTCTGTGTAGCTTTGGAGCCTATCCTGGCACTCGCTCTGGAGACCAGGCTGGCCTTGAACTCACAGAGATCCGCTTGCCTCTGCCTCCCAAGTGCTAAGATTAAACACTGCGCCACCAATGCCTGGCATTTTCTTTCTTTCTATCTATCATGTAAACAGTGTTCTGTCTGCATGCATGCATGCATCCATCCATCTATCATGTATTCAGTGTTCTGTCTGCACGTGTCCCTGCAGGCAGAAGAGGGCACCAGACCTTATCACAGATGGTTGTGAGGCACCATGTGGTTGCTGGGAATTGAACTCAAGACCTCTAGAAGAGCAGCCAGTGCTCTTAACCTCTGAGCCATCTCTCCAGCCCAGTTGACACATTTTTTAAGGGTCCCTAAATTCTGTCGTCAACAAGAATTATCAGCTAACCATTAAAAGTTGTACTGCAAAACTCACAACCATCAGCTAGCTCACTGGCTCCATTACCACTGCCTCAGAGAATGCACTTCAAGAATCCCACCTGGGAGTGTAGCTCAGTCACAGGGCAGCACAAAGCTCTGGGGTTCTGTCCCCAGTACCAGGTAAGGAAAACAAAAGGGTTTTAAAAGCATAATACCTGATCTTCAGCCTATGTAAAACTAGTACAGAAGTCTCTCCTCATCCAGGAAATAGTCTGAAATCATGCAAATGTGCCAAATTTGAGGGGAAACTACTCACCACCACCTTTTCAATTTTTTTCTGACGCACAGAGATCTATCCCAGATTGAAAAGAATCTCAGTTTTAATCTGAGTCTGCACCTCCTTAGGAGATGGCTTCAGCAGCAAGACCATCACCACTCCCATTCTAGCACTGTCCTGAGGGATATGGGATTTACCAGTTTAATCATTCATATATTATTCTAATTTATCTTATCTTCACTTAGCTAACGCCTCTTTTCTTTCTTTCCTCTGATTAGTGACTTAAGCAATATATTCCCTATAGCTACCCGGCAGGTATTATGATTACTTAGTGTGTATTTCTGTGTATGCAAACATTCCTGCAAGTGCACATGGAGGTCAAAGGACAACTTGCAGGAATCATTTCTCTTTTTTCTATCAGGGGATTCCAGAGATTGAACTCAGGTTGTCAGGCTTGATGGCAAGCACCTTTACCCGCTGAGCCATCATGCTGGCCTTTGAAGTTTTTTGTTGTTTTTGAGACAGTGTCTCTCTATGTAGCCCTGGCTATTCTGAATCACAATGTAGACCAGGCTGGCCTCAAAATGACAGAGATCCACCTGCCTCTGACTCCCCAAGTGCTGGGATTAAAGGTGTGTGCCACCATGCCAAGACAGTTTATGGCTTTCTTAAAGCCCTGTATATACCTACTTATGAGAATTTTTAACTTAATGTTAGCATGGGTGTTTTTGTATGCTTTGTGATTACCTTTCTGGCAGGATGATATTTTACTCTGTAAGGCTACTCAATGAAGCAACCCTGATACTATTTTTCCCCCCCAATTTCCCCCAGTTCCTCTGCAAGAGCAACAAGTACTCTAAACTGCTGAGCCATCTCTCCAAGCTTCCTCAATGCCATGAACCCCTTTGAGCATAGTTTTGGTTTCTTTTTTTCTTGTCTTGGTGCTGGGAACTGAATCTGTGATCCTGAGCATACTATTACACACACTCTCTGGAACTGAACCTGTGATCTTGAGCAAACTATACACATAACTTTCTCAGTAGGCATGTTTTCTCAACATTAGACTTTCTGTAAATGCCCTTAATTAAAGAACTGAACTTTTTTTGTTTTGTTTTGGTTTGGTTTAGACAGGGTTTCTCTGTGTAGCCCTGGCTGTTCTGAACTCACTCTGTAGACCAAGCTGCCAGAGACCCACTTGTCTCTGCCTCCTGAGTGCTGGGATTAAAGTTGTGTGCCACAACTACCCAGCCAGAACTGAACTTTTTTGTTTTGTTTTGTATTGGAGACAAGGTTTCTCTGTGGCTTTGGAGGCTGTCCTGGAACTAGCTCTTGTAGACCAGGCTGGTCTGGAACTCACAGAGATCCGCCTGCCTCTGCCTCCCGAGTGCTGGGATAAAAGGCATGCGCCACCAACGCCCGGCTGAACTGAACTTTTTTATGGTCCTTGTTACAGGCTTCTACATTGTTTTTCAATAGGCATCTTTCATATTTGGAAAACTTACACCTTTCAAATATAGATAACTACTTAAATTAAAAAACAAAACAAAAAACCCAAAACCTTGTTTCTTACTAATCAAGAGCAATTGGCTTAATACCAATCCACCTAAAATGGACATTAGGAGCAGTAAGCATAACAAAGAGTATTTACTCATGGAAAACAGTTTAACAAGCTTTTTGTAAGGTTTATTTCTTGTGTTTAATTATTTCTTGTGTTTAATTATTCATATATGTGTATGGGAAGGTATTCATGAACCAAATGTCTGGGAAGGCTACAAGAGGACATCAGTTGCCCTGGGGC